ATGGATGGATTAGGCCTAGTGAGTCTGAGTTTCGTGCGCCTGTCTTGTTTGTACCGAAGAAAGGAGGCAAACTCCGGATGTGTATTGACTATCGTGGCCTGAATCGGATCACTAGAGAGAATGCTTATCCTTTGCCTCGCATAGATGATCTGCTAGATGCGGCAGGTGGGTGCAAGGTCTTCTCCAAGATCGACCTCAAGTCTGGCTACCACCAGATTGAAGTTGATCCGAGTGACCAGCACAAAACTGCATTCAAAACACGCGATGGGCTGTACAAATTCATCGTTATGCCCTTCGGTCTTACGAATGCACCAGCCAGATTTCAGTGCCTCATGAACAAGGTTCTCCGCCATCAGCTTAACAGGTTTGTTGTTGTTTACCTCGATGACATCCTAATTTTCAGCAAGTCCATGGAAGAGCACGTCAAGCACCTTGAGGAGGTTTTGCAGGTCCTCAAGGAGGCACAGTTGCACCTCAACTTACATAAATCTGAGTTTGGAAGGGACAGCGTCATCTATCTTGGGCACCGGTTGTCTGCAAACGGCCTTGAGCAGGAGGCAACCAAGGTTGAGGTCATACAAAAGTGGCCTCAACCGGTGAACGTACGCGAGCTGCGTTCTTTCCTTTGTTATGTATTACCGGAAGTTTGTGCCCAAATTTTCAGTCATTGCTCACCCACTCTCAAGACTAGCAAGTAAGAATGTTGCCTATGCGTGGTGTGAGAAATGCGAGACTGCGTTCCAAGCCTTGAAAGAGGCTTTGGTAAGTCATCCTGTGCTCCACATTGCGGATCCCAACCTCACGTTCGTGGTTAGTGTAGTGCTACAACAAGATGATGGTGATGGTCTGCGTCCGCTTGAATATTACAGCAAACACATGCCCAGCCATAAGGTAGCTACCTCCACATACATGTGTCAGCTCTACGTCTTGCGCGAGGCGCTCACACAATGGAAGCACTACCTCTTGGGTCGTCACTTCAAGGTCTACTCAGATCATCAGACCTTGCAGTGGATTAAGACACAAATTGATCTCTCCCCGATGCTGACCCGCTGGTTGCATGACATTGATGTGTACAATTTTGAACTGAAACATAAGAAGGGCTGTTATAATCGTGTTGCTGATGCTTTGTCGCGTCACCCTGAGTTTTTGACTTGCCTTGTTAGTTCGTATGACCTCCGAAGGAAACTGAAGGAGGATCTGGTCGAACACACCGCCAAGGATCCGGGCCTTAGTCCCATCCTTGAGCAGCTCAAGGCTGACCCTAGCAGTCAGCCTGATTTTCATGAGTGCGAGGGTCTTGTATTCCGCCAGTATGGGAAGTTTGATCGTTTGTGTGTACCCAACCATGCGCCCCTCCGGACTCATTTCTTGGATTTGGCATATGGTCGGAGTGGACATTTCGGCTTTGAGAAGAGTTATGGAAGTCTTCTGCAGCAGTTTGATTGGCCGGGAATGAAAGGATCTGCTCAAAAATTTATTGTTGAATGTCAAGTTTGTCAAAGGACCAAGGTCCATAGGCATAAGCCTTATGGCCTTCTGAAACCCTCCCCATTCCAGATGGACCCGGTGAGTCGATTTCCATTGACTTCACGGACATGGGAAAGGTGAGTGAGGCAGGGAATTCACAAGTCATGGTCATCGTGGACCGTTTTTCCAAATTTCTGAACTTGATTCCTTTCCCTCCCCATGCCCCAACTGAGCTTGTCATCGAAGAATTTCATCAGCAGTACATTCTGCAGTTTGGCCAACCGAAAACTATTGTGAGTGATCGGGACACCAGATTCATTAGTAAAGATTGAAAGGACTTCACTTCTCAGATCTACGACATTACACTCAACAAAACTTCTGGTTGACACCCCGAAGCCAATGGCTTGGCTGAGGAAATCAACCAGACTGTCATCCAACTACTGCGCTCGTTAATTGTTCCAGATCAGAACACATGGGACAAGGAGTTACACAAAGTGAAAGGGTTGTACAACAACTCCATTCACTCTGCAACTGGCATAACACCGAATCAACTGCAATATGGTTGGCAAATGCGCAATCCTCTCTCCTATTTGTCCCCGAACGGTCCCTTGGTCTGACGCCCGGCATGCCTGGCTACAATGCCAAGTACGCACGCCTGCTCAAAGATGCTATCGCAGCAATCAACAAGCATCAGCATGCCATGATCGAACATGCTAACAAGTCGCGCAAAGAAGCGGACTTCAAAGTAGGGGACTATGTCTGGGTCAAAATGTCTGAGCTTTCTGATGAAGAGGGCGTATCACGGAAGCTTCTACCATTGTACTATGGCCCTTGGCAGGTTCTGAAGGTGATTGGGGATGAATTTGGTTCTTCGTATGTGATTGATGTGCCTCCTCATCTGCGCACATACCCGGTCTTTCATGCATCCAAACTGTTTCCACACATCGATGATGAAACGTTTCCCTTCTGAGATCCTATGATACCTCGTCCTATCGACGACGGCCATGAGAAAGACAGAATCGTTTCCCATGAAGGCAGAGGGAGGAACAAACAGTATAAGGTTCACTTCCTCCATCACCCGTTGAACGAGTTTTTCTGGATCGACCGGAAAGAGCTGCTAGAGAATGCTCCACGTGTTGTGAACGCTTATGAACGACAGACCGCTGATGGACAGACTGCTAAGGTTTCTGCAAAACTCACTCCCTATGGTCTTACTAAATCCCTCTTTTTGATCTACGCCTACGATGCATTTTGTGCCGACTTTGAATGAGTTACTTTCTCGAAGGGACCTCGCTCTTGAGAGGGGGGTAGTGTAATGACCCGCCAAAAACACAGACTGAGAACACCGCTGATTTCTGGGATTTGCCACTGGAATGAATGCCTTGCTGTGATTCCCGCATTCTGCTGTGGTTTCCAAGTTTGTGTGTGTGTGTGCGTGCCTGCTGGTTTGCATGCCTGTCTGAGTGCTTGTTGGTTGAGTGTGTGTAAGACCCGCAAGGGTACTTGTTGGTTGCAAGGCCCCGCAGGGCCGGTACTTACCTGTGGCCGTGACTTTGAGGGTTGCAGCGGGGGAAAACACTCGAGTACGGGGGGTAGGCCCGCGACACTCAGAGCAGAGGGGAAAAACACTCAAGTAGCAGGTAGGCCAGTACCACTGAAGTAGTGGTACAAGTGTCGGGTACTGGAGGCCGAGCAGAAGAAGACAAAAAGTTGGCATTTTTAGAGGCCCACTAGCAGTAGGCTAGAGGTAGGCCGGTACCAGTCCAAGTAGCCCAGGTCTAGGGCCTGTCCGGAGGTTAGCAGAGCCTGCAATGATGTTTCCCTCCGAAAGGGAGGAGGTACCGGTTGCTGGGAGGCCGCTCGGCCTAGGAAGTCACCGCCCAGGAGGCCAGTAGGCCGCTATATCTTTCGGAGGAGCAAGTAGCTCCTCCTCATTTGCGGTATGCAAGGATTGGCGACATGCTGCTGGAGCACAGCGCTGGGCTGGTACAGCGCTGCTTGGAGGTGAAGGGCAGCTGGCGCTCAGCCTGGCTATGGCGAGCAGCCCAGCCTGAGGAGGAGGAAGAAGGGGGCGAAGGAGGAGAGTGGCGAGGCACCTACCTGGCTATGGTAGACACCATCTTCATCACCTTGTTGGGCGCTGCATCTGGGAGGCCCCAGTTGGGGTAGTGCTGCACCAAGGAAGCTTGAGGCAGGGCTTGGCATGGCGGACCAGTCAGTAGCAGCAGCATAGCTGCTTTGGGTTGGAGAGAAGGTTAACCGACCCCCCATTTTTCAGGTCCATTTATAAGAAAACCATAAGGCCATTTCAACCAAACTCCACACCAATGTATAGAGAGCACTTCTTACTAACATATTTATAAAAAAAAAAAAAAAAACACATAAAACAGCAACCCAAAAGTGCATTTTCAGGCAATTTTGGCATGAAACAGGAGGAAGGTGGAGAGAGAAGGGGGGAATTGTCATTGGTCTTGCTGGTGTACATCTTCTTCTTCTTCTTCTTCTCTTTGTCTTCTTCTTCTTTCTCTCTCCTCTGGTCTCTATCTCTTTGCAAGTGCTTTCATTTCTTTCGCAATTGGGTGGCATTGTCTTTCATTGTGAATTTGCACTTTGGGAATGACCAGGATCGTAACACCTGCTTCCCTTGTATACTTACCATCGTCTGCTTGCAGGCAGGGAAGATCAGCATCAAGCTGAAGGGCAATTGCAAGAAAGTCGGACGCTGTACAAAAAAAGCAGGCGGTGGAGAACGTGTCAAAGGAGTATTAGTTGCAGCCAGACCACAGAGATTGGGGAGGGTCTCAGGCTGGAGTGCCGGATGCTGGCCAACAATTTGTGGATCACCTAGACAGCGTTCCGAGCCCAAAATGTCCTGGGCTGTTCGCAGATCAGCCATGTGGTCTATGCCTTGTGGGACAAAAATTTGCAGTTCAGCCAAAAAAAAAAAAAAGAATAAAAAAAGAAAAGAAAAAAATGCTGGTCATCCATTTGCAGAACACTCATATGTCTACACGTAGTATGGGCAATTTACAATTCGGGCAAATCGTGTTTTAAGAAGCTTCTAATCGCCAGACATTTGGGGCTGGGCTGCATCTTGGGTGGGGACTTCCCTTGGAATTGGGAGTGGAACCTGGACGGAGACCATATCCAGCTTTGCAAGTGACTTGTGAATATCCAACGATGAAGGGCATAAAACCCGATCTCGTGGCTGCCCGCAGGAAGTTGGTCTGTCTAAAGGGGGCACAGGAGCGGATATTATTGCTCGTATCTGAATTGTTACAAGAAGGAAGAAGGATGTAAAGGTGGCTTTTGTGTTTCCCTTTCACCAAGTAAGGAGTGTGTGTTGTGTGTGAGGGCGTGTGGGGGGGGGAGGGCACAGCAGCGGGTGCATGCTCGAAATTCCCTCTGTCAAAGCATCACACTCACACTCCACCCCAATACGGGTGATGATTACCAAAGCACTGATTTGACAAATAGTGTAATAGCAGTTGTGAATTCCCTTAGGGGAATATCCTGTTTCCATAAATGCTCACCTGCAACAAATTCCAGCCCGCTCCTTGACCAAGATCTAGAAATTCGACTGCATCTTTCCACCTGTCATCAGCAGCACAGTAGCTGCCCAGTTTACAAGAGGACATGCCCACACGCAAATCTGAATCAGGAAGGGGTGCTGCGTAGGGAGGAAACCAACATATGTGTGTGTAGGATCCTCAGAGACTATATGCGAAAGAACTTCAGGCGGTTAGCATAGTCGCCTTAAAACAAGTTGAAGGTAGAGTCCGTGCTATGTAGAGATACATAGAGTGCTACTGAAACGCCTTTGAAAATCACCATGGTCTCTCCAGAAATAGGTGAAAATACTTAATTTCATGGTTCACAGCTGCCACGCCCAAACACAAGTCCGTATAAGGTGGTATCATCCATGCCTTTCTCGACCGCCTTTGAAAATAACCATGTAATCCTGGGTAATACGGTAATACCATGGTCCCATAAGACCTGGACCCAGACACCATCCATAATGGAACCAGTCTTGAGTCAGGACATCCCAACCTTCTCGGGTGCAGGGGGTGTCCTCCGAAACCTTGTTTCTTTTTCTTAATTAAACATACCTTTCTTGGCCTTTTGGCACAGATCAACTGTAGTATCTGCTCTGATCAGGTTCGTATCTGATGATTCTGATCCCGAAAATAATAATAATAATAATAATAAATCAGGTCCTTATGGGCCTTATGGCCCTCCTGGTTCCGTTCTATTCTGGGGAGCCTCAGTTGGGTTCCTTTTCCACTGTCTACAACTCGAAACGCAAACGCTTCCTTCAATTATGTCCAAAGGGTCCCCTGAACAGCATTGACTGTTCCGTTGGCGGGGGATTGACTGTCACGCAGGCCTTTCCTATTTGAACCACCAGCATGTTTCCCAGCCATTTTTCTCCGACGTGGTATTATGCATGCGGCCACAGGTTTAGGGGGTTGGCCTACTGGAGCAAAATGGCTGGCGGCGCCAGCCAAAAGAAGGCCCGTGCCGATTTCGTTTTGTTTTCCGCGAGTTCATTTTCAGTCTCAGCAAGGGAAGGGTCAAAAGTACAAGGTCTACATAGTACAGACCCTCCCTTTGCCCTGGATATACTTCTCAACTGCAAGAAGATTGACTGGGACGCCATCTCCTCCACCATACACAGCTCTCGTTCTGGCCGTCCTGAGAGATATCTGGTGTGCGTCTGCTGGAATTTTCTGAACTGTGCCACCACTTTGCCATTCGTTAGCCGGATGCGTTGTAAATCCAACTTCATCTTCTTTTATTTTTTACTGCATCCTTCCTTGACGGTATGCACTTCGTTGTCTGGTCGGATCTGCACCTGATTTTGGCTTCAAACAACTCCTTACTATCGTCTTCAGCCAAGTAGAACGCCTGGTCATTATAGCTGCATCTGGACTGAAAATTGCCCTGAATACGGCTAGAATGACTGGGCGTTCTATTCGGGTGATGGCGGTAGTCCTTTGTCGAGGCCTAGACCGTCTCTCTCTGATTCCTTCTTCTATCGGGCATAATGCTGCTTCTGTCTTTCCAGATAAACCCACAGTGTCAGCTTTGTGATCATTCCAAGGAATCCATACCACACCCCCTCTTGGGGGGCTAGTTGAACTGATGAGGGGAGAGGATAGTCCAGAGTCTGACTCCAAAGGAACTGTAAAAGGCTGTTTAGTACTGTAACTACTGTTTACCACTCTGTTTAGGGCTGCAAGAGGGGAAAAGGGTGACCATAGATATAGATTCACTTAGCTCTCACCCAAGCTCATGAAGCAATCAATAATATCCTGTCCTGTCCCTGTTCAGCGCAGGCTACACATTGGTCGAAGCTTTTTTCTTTTCTTTTCTTTTTTCCTCTTTTGCTTCCGTAGGCCATCGAGGTTTGAGCTTGGCGCTTGATCCCTTCACTCATGCAGTGACATGTAGTGGTCCATTGACATGTACTGGTCCATTGACATGTACTGGTGCATTCACATGTACTCGTACTGGTGCATTCACATGTACTCGTACACGTGTGTGTAAGGTGCAGTAACACAGCCTAACAGCAAGCTGAGGCAGGTTGTTCGGTCTCCAGATCATTTCATCATGTGGCCTCGCTCCACTCCTCACTAAATGTGCAAAATGAGAATGAATCTTCTGGTAGAACATGGAAATACTCCAAAATATACACCATCCATATTTTTTATTATTTTTTGTCTTTTGTGCACATGGTTGGTGACTACTGGAGTGAGGCCCATTGGTTTAGTTACTTTAGTATCCATTTCATTTCCGACAACCAGCAGCTGTCAGACAGAGTTGCTCAGTTTTCTGGATGACCGGTTATCGACACACTTACTGTCAGAGTTCCGAGAGTTATGGGAAGTTTTATAGTCTTTGAATGAGCAACAATTTTAATAACCAGCACCTGTCGGAGTTGCTGAGTGTTTTTTTTTTTTTTTTTTTTTTTTTTTTTTTTTTTTTTTTTTTTTTTTTTTTTTTTTTTTTTTTTTTTTTTTTTTTATTGTTGTTGTTGTTGCTGTTGCTGTTGCTGTTGTTGTTGTTGTTGTTTAACACACACACACACAGCCCCTTCTATTCTGGGAGGAACCAGTCCGGTTGCTTATAACCGGCAAGGATGAACAGCATTACTATGTCAAGCACACAAAGTAGTCATGAAGGAGCGGCATTCGGCCTCTTTTTTTTTTTTTTTTTTATTCAAACGGGCCCAGTGCCCAAGGTTGATATTATGAATAAGAAGATTGAGGCCGGGGTCCGCACAGTCTACCCGGAGTGACCGAACCGAACTTGCTGTGACCCGAGTTCCCCGAATGTTCCATCTTACCCATCGCAAGATTACCAGAGTCGTTCAAGTTATCACAAATTATCACAGTTTTTTAATATAATATGCGACAACACTGACAACTACCAGCTGCTGTTCCGCTTCCCCAAGGACCCATCGAAACTTTCCCATCGTTGTTGGCGATGGAAGGAAGAGTTCAGAACTTAGGAGTCAGTGAATGCCAGGTCAGTCTTAGGAAACAGTTGGTTCTTTACAGTTGTTCAGCTCCGAGATGATTAGCTTTGACATATTGACATGTAAAAAGAAAGATGCAGATATTGTCGAGTACGATTGACGAAGAAGGAATATCTTTCTCGGCTTTTTGGCTAACATCAAGTGTAATATCCATTGTCATTGGCCTCAGAAAGAAAGAAAAGAAAGAAAAGAAAGAAAGAAAGAAAGGAAGAAAGAAAGAAAGAAAGAAAGAAAGAAAGAAAGAAAGAAAGAAAGAAGGAAAGAAAGAAAGAAAGAACGAGCGAAAGAACGGAAAAAAGAAAGAGAGAGAAAGAGAGAAAGAGAGAAAGACAAATAGTAGCAAAGGCCCTAGCCAACAGACTGAGTAAGGTGACTAAGGGATGTTTTCATTTAGACCAGACTGGATTCATTCCGGGGCGGTTTATCCTGGAAAATGTAATGACGCTTTCAGAGTCAGTAAGATATATCAGGGAGAAAAGAATCAACGCCGCTATCCTACTTTTTGACTTTGAAAAGGCGTACGACTAGGTAAATTGGAATTTCCTTCAGCAATGTATGGGAAAAATGGGAGTGGGCCCAACTTTCGAAAATGGAGGGTTCTCTATAATGACGACCACGGACAGGTCCAGGTAAATGGACACTTGTTGCAGGGGTATAGGATGTCAAGGTCTGTTCGAGAAGGCGAGCCTTTAGCGGCCCCTATCTTTCTCTTTATCATGGAGGCGCTAGCTTCCTTCTTAAGGATACGGGCCTGAGACTCCTCCTTCGAAGCCCTCACATACAAGGGCAATGAGTGCCTTCCAGTTAGCATCAGAAATGAGAATCAACTGGCCCAAGACAATGGGTTGGCGGTTGGTACAAGGAACAGAAGAGGGACAACTCCACCTGGCGAACTACGGCGGGATGAGCTGGGTGTCAACAGCTGAACCTTTGCGATATCTAGGGATTAGACTGACAGACTCAGGCCCTCACCACTTGATGGCACCGGAACTCCTGACAAAAATGTTAACGAGGATCAGCGCATGGTCTCAGGGTGTATGCATCGGTATTTGGACAAGCCCTCATTCTTAACACCTCAGTGTAGTCTATGCTATGCTATGCTGGCACGATATGGACTCCGCCACTCCAGGCAATGAAGGAACTAAGGAGAGAATCAGTGGCGTTCCTGTGGACATCGAACCCAACTAAGCCACATTTTATCTCCAGGGTTGCATGGCGGCATGTCATTAAATCCAAGGACCAAGGGGGTCTGGGTATACTGGATCCGGAACAGCAACTGAAGGCACTCCAAACAAAATGGATTTTGAAGCTGACCACGCACCCACAGCTACCCTGGGTCCCTCTAGCTATGGAGCACATTAGGAAACAGACCAAGTACAAAACCCCCTCCAACATGGAAGGAACTTTCTGGTTATTGAGCAAGAGCTGGGCAAGGAAAGGAAGGAGTGGAAACGAGGGAGGAACAGAAGAAGGAGGCCCTAGGGGAGTGTCGCATTGGACTCAGCTGCTGAAAGGATGGACGAAAATTTTCCCGGCGAAAGACAAGGAACCCAAGCACAAGGGAGGAAGTCCTGAGACAACCCCTCTTCTACAATCCATGGGTTAAGGACCAACAGGGGAAACCGCGCACTCTTACGACAAAAGACACGAAGTGGGGAACCTGGCTGAAGCATGGCATCTGGCAGGTCAAACACCTCTGGCCGGAAGATAAACAACAGTGGAAGACGGCTCGAGAGCTAAGGGAGGAGTTGAAGGGGAGTCACAGGCTAGCAGAGAATCTGAGCGAGATCTTGTCTTTAATCCTGGAAGGCTGGGTCAGGTTACTTCGGAGGCCACGACATTAGGATGCGGATAGTGGGCAGCCTGGTCCAATAAGGGCGCTCCAATGGAAGCACTCAGAATTGGGGGACAGGTGGGACCGGGAGTGGAATGGCTGAGCGCACATATGTACACAATCCAATCCCCAGGGGCCTATACAAGCCAATTGGACAAGGACACGACCACCCAAATCACCATAAAAAAGGACCAGCTGAGGAAAGTGAGGGTGATAGAGATGGAGGAGTTCACGATATTT